CCTGCTGAAAGCAGGGTCAGCTGTGGGGTCAGATGAGGTTGCTCAGGGCTTTATCCAGTCTCATCTTGGAGATGCTCCAGGGTTGAAGACTGCACAACATCTCTGGACAACCTGCTCCACTGTCCTTAAAGGTAAGAAGTTTTCCCTTATAGCCAGTCTGAACCTCTCCTCTTCCAACTGATGATTGTTGACTTTCATCCTCCCACCACGCACTGGTGTGCAAAGCCTGGCTCATCTTCTCATGATGCTGCCTTCAGGTCCCCATAAAGGTATTTCTTCTCCAAGTTCAACAGACCTGTTTCTTCAGCCTTGGCTCACAGCGCAAGTGTTTCAGCCCTCATGATCTTGGTGGCCCTCTGCTGAATTTGCCCCCATCTGTAGATGTCTTTTCAATATTGAGAGCTCAAAATTAGACTTAACATGCCAGATGTGGTTTAACAAGCACCAAGTAGAGGCAGGTAATGATTTTCTTTGACCTACTGGCTCTGTTCTTGTTGATGCAGCCCAGGATGCTCTTGGCCTGTGTTGCTGTGTGAGTATTATGAGCCTCCTCAAGACTGAGGAGCCTTGTTAAAAGTCTTGCTTTCATTCAATATCAAATAAAAATTTGCTGGAAGTGTCAGCAGAAAGAGGTGAGTGGCTTTATTCAGACAATTTTGCTTATTGTTTCACACTTGGAGAGCTTTGGTGATCTTTTGGTTATACAGTTGATGACCTAAAAGTCTGCAGAATGAAGCATAATGTGCAGAGAGATGCTGAGGCTGATGGCAGCATTGCTTTCTTTAACCTGATAAAATTGTTGTGGTACTTGCATAAGGTTTTTGTTCCTGTTCTGTGTTGTTTGTTTTTTTTTTAATAGCAGGTTGGAGAAATATAGGTATCTGCATTTGTAAAACAAGATTGTTTTGGCAGAGTTTCCAGCTTTCTGTGATGTTCTTACTAAATTTGTTCCTTAAAATTCTTCGTTTTTAATGATAAAATATAATTTTTGTTATAAATTGTGACCATGATGTGCTCTAGTCTATAGAAAAGCAGCAGTCTGGAAGTTCTAACAGAACTTTACTTGCTTATGGCTTTCCTGGTGCATTTCTGCAAAAAGGGAAGTACATCAAACATGCCAAGGCTCTCGTGCAAAGAGGCACAGGATCTGTGGGATCTTTTGAATGAGAACATTCAAAGCAATTCCCAGATAGATCTTTCCAGCTACAAACCATAAAATTCAATCTCTTATTTGTACATGCTGGGTCATATCTGTCTTACCAGATTTAAGTGGAATTGTATAAGAGAATTTATTCTTGATTTGAACTTGGGTATTTTTTTCTTGAATGAGTTTACTGTTAACCCTTTACTGTTATAGAACTTGTTTGACTGAACTTTTAAGAAGTAAATGGAGTGCTATTGTAATAAAATGCCTCTCTGTTCACTTCCCCAGAACTACTCTGAATTTTACCCAGATAAAACTTGTCTTGTATGCAATTTTTCTTAGAGCTAGAAGATACAAAAATTCAGCAATTGTTAAACAACTCAGTGAAAAATAGTAAAGTTCATGTTACAGAGATGGAACAAAAAATCACTTTGTCCTAGTCAAGAATACCCAGTGGCTTTTCTCTGCACTGAGTTTTGTTATCTGATGCCTGTATTACAGATGACTTTCCCCCTTTGTGACCAATACGTGCTCCAAAAGGGCACTCTTGGGTTTCAGATGTCCAAGTAATGAGCAGTGTTTGAATAGGCAGGTAAACCAAACTGAAGGATAATGATACATGAGTACTGGCAAGCTGCCTAGGTTGGTGTTGGTAAACGTGATTCTGTACCAGTGTGAAATGGGAACTGTGCTGGATGGAAACGACTAAGAGGATTAGCCTGAGTTCCTGGACTGCTGACAGGTACATTGCACACAGACATAAGCAAGTCCTTTGTAAAAACTACAAAGAAACAAGGAAGCTGATTTTCAACAGATGACTTATGTAGAGCTGGGAAGGGGGCAGAGAGTCCTGCAGTTTATTTTGGGCTGTAGAAGAACATACTGAACAGCTTTAATGAGCACAGCATTTTGATGATTCTGCATCACATCTATGAGACACAGCTTGCACAAATCATTAAGTCCTCCCTAAGCACATCTAAGGGATGCAGCTTTCATGCATTTCCATCAAGCTTGGGGGAACATTGAAGTGCAACTGCAACAGTTACTTAGCTATGGAAAGTAAATCAGCAAAGTTTTTAATAAGAAATGGAAAGGTACTTGCAGGGTGTTGCCTGGGCCTTTTCCCACATTGCTTATCTGTGTTTTCAATGATCTAATTCTTGCTTTCACTACTTCAGATTTTATTTCAAAGTCAGGAGGGAAAGATATCTAATATTCAGGTTGTTAGCGTGTATGCACTCTGGTGATACAGATCTGCAATGACCATTTTAAGCAGAGGAAAGGCTGAGAGACCTGGGCCTGTTCAGTCTAGAGAAGAAAAGACTGAGAGGGGATCTTATTAAAGTACATAAATATCTGAAGGGTGGGTATCAAGAAGGAAGGGCCAATCTCTTTTTCAGTCATGCCATTTGATAGAAGTGGCAATGGATGCAAACTAGAGCACAAGAAGTTCCACTTCAACATGAGGAAGAACTTCTTTACTGTGAGGGTTAAAGAGGACTGGAACAGGGTCCCCAGAGAAGTTGTGTAGTCTCCTTCTCTGGAGACTTTCAAGACCCATCTGGATGCATTTCTGTGTGACCTGCCCTAGATGCTTCTGCTCTGGTGGGAGAGGTTGGACTCAATGATCTCCAGAGGTCCCTTCCAACCCCTAACATTCTGTGATTCTGTGATTCAGACTTGAATTTGGATGTGATTTTAGTGTGTTGTTTTTTTTGTTTTTCTTTTGGTTAATGCATTGTTTAAAATACTATTCTGAAAGGGCTTTCCTTTAATGGAGAAGTGGGATTTGAGGCTGTGACACAGACGCAGACAATGATAGCAAGATAATAATATTAAAGATAATGAATAAATTTGGATTACACTTGGTGGTTTACTCCTTAGCAGTTTGGTGCTCTGCAGGAACAAAGGGTAAAACTGGCAGCACTGTGACGTGCCTTCAGCAGAGACATGAGACAGCAAACTATGCACCAGTTATTACTGACTGCTGATGGTCTTTGCCCATACAAAAAGAGAGCTTGCAATGGCTTCTGCACCTGCAAGGAGTATCCTAGCAACATCACTGAGGAAACTGTATGCCAGGACTCTTTTCTGAGTGCTTTTTGTTGAGCATAGCCACAGTTGTAAAATAAAGGTCAAGAGCAATTTAAGCTCTTGAAAGCACTGTTGCTTAATTCATTTACTGAGATAAATGTTTGTGTTGCAGTTTTCTGACTAAAGGATAAATATCGGATTACAAAGTCATCTAAGAGGATATCCAACTGAAGTTTAGTTAAACGTGAGTATCACTTAATCTAAGATGTCATTTCTTACTTGGGGGAAAGTTACTGCTGCCTTCTGCTTGCTGTTACTCAAGGACACTCAGGGGTTTTCTGTGCAACACAGAACAGGGGAGCACAGACCCCCTGGCACTGGGAACACACCATTGGTCTAATGAAAAAAAAGAAGAGAATTTTTTTTGCCTGAGAAGGTGTTTGTGGTCCTTGTCTTACTGCATGTATGCACCGACCTCAGGTGAGTCCCTGCTTCATGCTTTGTCCTCAGCTTTCAGGGAAAATACTCTCTTCAGGTTTTCACACATCATTTACTGGTTCCCTGTCAGAAGTTTTTGCTGGGCTTGCTCATACTGGCTGTGCACTCTCACCAAGTGGAGAGGGCAGTGTTTATCTTTATGCTTTATCGATGGGGAGTTGAGGTGACAGACTAAGACCCTTCTCAGCCTCCTGGGCTGGGGCTGCAGAGTTACTGGGGGAGCTAGGCCACACTCTGGGCCCCTCTGAGCTTCATCTTTCCTTATGCAGAACAGGGACAATGCTACTCTTTCTAACCAGGAGAGCTGGTGATGTAGCCTAAAAAAATGCATGCAGTTGTAACAAGAGTTTTTGTCCCTGCCCAGTCTAGTAGGTAATCTCTAATTCTAGAACCCAATCTAAAAATGGCATTTTTACCTTTTCTATTTGAATTTATTTGCTGTTGCTGGTCTTTTTTTCTCCCTGCATTCTGACTCAGTGAAAGGATTTTGTACTTAGGTTACTGGATGTTTAATTTTTTCACTAGCTACTTAGAGAAGTAGAGACTGTGGGAGATGTTTAATTTTAAACAGTCATCTAAAAAGTCAGCAGTATTCAGACATAATTATCCCTCTCAGTTCCCTGTTTATAAAGCTAAAAGATGGTTTAGGCTGGAATTTAATTCCAAACAAACTAACATGCTTAAAGTAACCTCCTGTTTCCTTAATTACAAAACCACTTGAAAAGTGCTACAGTAATTTCCCTTCTCTGAGAAATAGTTCCAAGTAATTTGCCGAAGAAAATTAGCTGAGGATAAGCTGCTTGTTCAGAAGCAAAACAAGAAATTTTCAGTGAAAATCAATTATGGCTAACAGAAAACATGAAACACTATTGCATTTAAACCATCTTTTTTTGTTTGTTTTCTTTTTATTTTTTCCTTTCCTTCCTGCTTCTGGACTTGAGGTGATGTGACCCCTGTCCTCATGAATCCTGTCTCACAGTCACACTCAGTTCCTCTGTTGGAAGGAATATGCCACACCATATCAGACATGAATGCAGATTGTGTGATGGTCACGCAGGAAACTTTGGTGGCACAGTTAATGAAAAATTATCCAGGTAATGTGTTTGTTTCTCCCTCTTTTTAGAAGTCACTGTATCATCACACTTGAGTTTCTGATATTCAGCAAGCAATCACTGGATGTTTACAAGCAAAGCTGGTGGTATGAAAATATAAATTAAGAGGCAATTGGTAGAATACATGAATGAGAAAAATACCCTCATAAGTCAATGAGTGTCACTAACACTGTTTTGGTTGTAATTGTTTTTACAGATTTTAATAAATCTTTGAGAATAAGAGAGGGAATGGAGTGTAGTAGCATGTTCAGGGGATGCCTCTTCTAGGGGCTGGGAAAGCATAGATGAGGTATTTAGGTGCCAGATACGGAATAGCATAAAATAGACTGAGTGTCAGATCACAAACACTTTGACTCCTTTAGGAGATGGGAACATAGCTGACTCTGATGGCAAAGAGACTGGGTAAGAGTCTGTATCTAGTGTTTGCTATCAAAAAATTACAGCTGACCTCAAATTCAAATTTCATGGTCAAATTCCAGCCCCTTCCTTCCTGAAAGCAAATTGCCTACATTAACCAAGCTTTATCCCTTCTCTTCTGATGAGGTGGCAGCCACTTCCCTTAAATGCTGTGTTTTCTTTTGAATCTGAAAAATGTTCAATTTCCCTTAGATCTGCAATATAGAAGTGTGTGTGTGCATCTGAGACTTTTTAAGGCTCCTTCTAGCCCTCTGTAGGATGTTGCTGGGCTTGATACTGACCTTTCCCTTCTGAGCCTTCATAACATTACAGCTCTGCAAATATTACAGGCTGATCTGGTAGGCATTTTCACTAGTGGGAAAATTTTTAATGTAACCTCATAATCTGGCCTAGAACCCTGTCACAAAGGTGATGCAGACCTTTTGTGCACTGACATAAGCATTTCTAGCTCAGCCAGTCGTGGCAGGCTCAGAGTCTGTAGTGAAAGAACGTATTTCTTGCTATGTTTTCAGCTTGCTGAAAGTTTTAATTCTTGTGGGGAGGGGATCAGCAGCAACTTAGGGCAGCAGATCAGATGTCACTAGTCTAATGACTCTCGAACTGTGGCAGCTGAGGGGAAACTAGCAGCTGAGACCTGTCTCAGTGAGGTAAAATTCGGTAGCAATTGTCATCTGACAAAATTGCTCCAGAAGCTTCAGAAACAGTGATAAAAGCTGCTGTTAAATAACCTGCTGAGAAGGAAATGCTTTGAACATGACATTTTTTGGCTTGTACCTGGCAGAAGGTCTGTCTCATGAATATCATATCCTGACAGACACAAAGTGAACATTCTTGCTTATTTGAGGGAGAACATCCTAAGCTTCCATCACAGCAGTGCTGCAGTGACAACCAGAAATGCAGCTTGCCTTTAACTTCTTCCTCAGGGGTGACCTTGCCTCATCAGTGAGGAATGGCCTTGGCAGAGTTAAAAATTATTTTACTGATCTGTAAAACACCGGCGGGACTGCACCTAACAGAGGCCTCGGCTGGATGATATTTTTGTGCTGCCCTCATCTGGCTGGCCTAAGAGGGCTCTCCCTGACTCAGGGCTGCAGTCTGTGCCGAGTCCAAGTTCGGGGGCAGCCCTCTCTGCTCCCCGCGAGTGAACACTGCTGCGGAGCAGGGCTTGTTCCTGTTGTGCAGGCAGGCCAGGGGTGTGGGTGAGGGACGGCTGGATACAGGCACAATTGCTGGCTCTCGAAGCCAAGTAGAGTGGTGATGTATTAAAAAAGAAATAATAAAAAATCCTGCCTTTTGTCCTGTGATACTGTTGAAATTGAGTATGCCCTACTCAAACATCAGTTGCCAGGTTAACTTCAAACTTCTTTTGAAATCCTGTGAATTGAATGCCTCTGGTATTTCATGTTCAGTCATTTCCAGATCTGTTATATATAAGATATTTTTTGTCAGCTCCCATTTTACTTGAGAACTTCTTTCTGAGTTGAAATATCTGTATCTTTGTTGCAGGCATGGCAGTTCCCTCCCATAATATCTTACATAATATCCTTGGCACTCTAATTAAGGAAAGGAAAATATATCATACAGGAGAAGGATACTTCATTGTGACTCCCAACACATACTTCACCACAAATGATATCACAGATGACAACGGAAGGGTCCCCTTGGAGGACACTTGTTGCTGTTCACTGCCTTCCATCACTTATGTTGTAAACATCGAGTTCTGTGCAGGCCTAGTGAAAGAAAACATTCCTATGGTATCCCATTACAGATCCTGCCGTTGTTTCCCTGACCAGAATATGCTCTTTGAACAAAGACAGCTAATGAACCATGAAACTAATGGAGGAGCTAAGAAAGGCTGCAGTGATTTGAAGCCTTCAATTCAAAGTCAAGGAATATCCACATTTGTTGAAAACCACTCCCGGGACACTGCCCAATCCCTGGGAGACAAACTGAAATGCAAAAGGTTTGGCCTTGGCCTTTTCTGGAGAAGGGCTTCTAAAAAAGAAAAACTTAAGAAGGAGTACTCTACTTTTTCAGCGCAGTTTCCTCCCAAGGAGTGGCCAGTCAGGGATGAAGATGACTTAGATAACATTCCACGTGATGTTGAACATGAAATCATCAAGCGTATTAATCCTACCCTTACGGTTGATAATTTGATTAAGCACACAATATTAATGCAGAAGTTGGAGGAGCAGAAAAAATGCATCAGTAAGGGTACCTCAGCTGATGTGTCAGCAGTCAGGCAGAACCACCTTTCAAAGGATTGTGCTCAAAAGCCACAAAATAAAACAGCAAAAGACACCAGGAAAACCAAATCAAACAATGAGAGGCAGATTAGTAGAAGCAACAGGAAATCTCATGTATATGAGCTAACATCCCAAAATGAGCCACTGGAAGAGAACTTTTCACTGCCTGTCAGAAATCAACAGCCATCTGATGTAGCAGTGGAATCCCATGTCATATATAAAAGACAAATTAAGAACCCCTTCCAAGGTCTATCGTGGAGACGCAGCTCCTATGTGAAAGGGCACAAAGGTACTATGAATAGTCAGCTGAAGTCTAGGACTCAAAAGCAAGAAAGGGCTTTAAAGTCCTTGGACTCCTCAAAAACCTTTGAATATGGAACTGAACAGCTGGCTGTGGAAACAAAGGCAGATAAAGTTAAGCAAAACAAACTGCTCCATGCTAGTAAGTCTTCTCTCCAACTAAAGAAAGGAAGTTTAAGCGAAAACTTTAGTTATCTACATGACAGTACTTTGCAAGTAGAGAATAAATGCAAACAGTTTCTGGAGAGTACTATTTCTGAAGAAAACATCCACAGAAGAACAGTAAAAACAACAACTGGGGATATTAAAAAATACCCTCACTCCTACACTGGAGGTAATGGTGTGTGCAGAGAAGATGCAAAATTGTCATTAAATCTGAAAGATGAGTGTTGCAGGTGCAGAGCTGACACTGTGTGTGAGTTACTAGATCAAACAGCAAATGAATTTCAAAATGCCCATCTTTCAAATGATACAGCCAATGTTAGCCTGGTAGAAAATAATGGTGTGAAATATAGACAGAAGACTGATAATAAGAGTGAACTTATATTTAAAGATGATGGTGGCAGCCATTCTGGATCAATGAAGCTGGAAAGTAAAGGATTTACTGAGAACTGTAATCTTGTGCACCAAAAAGCACGTGATGGTGACACTTGTAGCTTGTTACACCCAGATCACAGTTGGGAAGTCAGTGAACCACCTCACCTGCCTCCTGGCTATTCTTTTGCAGATACAAGAGACTGGGGTATGGGTGTGCAAGAGCTGGGGACAGGCATGTCCCTAAAAACCTATCAGGTTAATGCATATCCCACCCAGTGCAACACAACTGTAAGTAAACCTGACTCTGGAGAGCACAGATATAAGGAAAGCACTAGTTTTGCAGAGTCAAAAGGTGTCTTAAAAGAGCATCCAAACACAGATTTCACAGAAGAAGGTTGGTTGTGCAGTCAGGTCCTTCCTATAGTTTACAGAAAGGCAGAAGAAACTGGTCTCACTGAGTGCTCAAAGGCTTCAGCTGTGGCAGATGTCTGCCTCACTGATGAGGCTGGCTCAGATGCTGACACTTTGCAGAGCTCCACCATTGAGACAGGCAAAGTAGCATCCTGTGCTTTAGGGTCACACACCAACAAAAGAAGAAACCCTCTGGGAGGAAAAGATCTGTTTTTTAAGAATGCCTGTACTGTGGCATCAGGACAGAAACACTCAGAAGGGACAGAAAACCACAGCATTACAGGAGACAGTGGAATTGACTCCCCGAGGTAAGCAAGCACACGTAACTATGTTAGATATTTTATCTTCAAATTAAGTCAGATTTAGGCAGAAATGTTGCTGTAAATCATAAACCCCCTTCCCCAACAACAAAATTCTCATCTGTATAAAAAAATTCAGTGTTATCTCCCAGTACTCAAACTATGTCACTCCACCAAGTCTTTTTTACATGAACATTCCCTCTCCATCAGCTAGACAGATGCTGCTGTTTGTATTTTGCATTTGTTTTCATGAGGCAAGAAAACGGCATAAGCTCTGCCTTGCAGATGGAGGTGGCCAAGTGCAGAAATGTTGAGAAACATGGTGACTGATAAACTGTTAGCAGGCAGATTCAGCCAGCACTGATCTTGCCATACAACATTGCAGTTACTGTCATGCTTTGTCCCTTTGTAGACAAAAAATAAAAAGTGATGTAGAGGTGTTAAATCAACATTTAAAGTACAAAACCACTATCTGGCCTGCTCAAAATAGACAGCAGAGTGTGTACATTGCTTGAGCTAGAAGTTTCTGCTTCTGTTTTGACTATAACTATACTTGAAAATTGCCTTAGTGGAAAATAGAATGGTATGAAACAAATTTTTACAGAGTTGTATGTGGAGAAGATCTGCAAAACTCAACTGGCAAAAATCTAAGTTTAAATTCTGTTAGGGTAAAATTATACTCTTTTTTAATAGCATCACATATTCTTAAGATCTTAAATTACTACAATTTAAGTGTAATAAAACTATTTCTCATTAGATATGTACTGTCACCTTGAGAAGCCTGTATACGAAGGAACAAATCGCATACTACAGTTTTTAACGCAATTCTGCTTTTTTTCTTTTCTCCCTCACACATCTTTTGGCTGTGCATCTTTCAAGCACACTGGTAGTGTACTACTTGGACATGAACACTTGCAATTTGTTGGACACTCTTTAGCAAAATGTAATACAAAGGGTTATTTTGATTGTATTGATGCCACCTGTGGTAGCAGAATCTAAGGCAACTCAATTTATTTTTAGAATGTGAAGTCTGACATACAACAATTCTGTTGTTTTAGATGGACTGAAAAGAAGATGAAGCTTCCTGCCAAATTTTGAAAGCATAAATACTAATGCAAAGAGGAGGACAAAGTGCAAGTACAATTGCTTCAGCTAAGTCTGGCCATGAACATTTGATTATTTTTTAATGAGCTTTTGTAAACTTTCCCTTTGTAACAACGTACCCGTACTGTAAATGTGATCAATCACATCTGTAAGGCTGTCTCTAAATCAAAGCTGTTAGTTAAAACTTCTGACCATGGCATTCGGAGAGCTGCTGTATGTTTCTGTTGCTCTCATCTTTAATTACTTTTGGCATCCCTGTCATAATAAAAATGAGAACTAGTGTACTTCATTTGGATCACACCATTAACCTGGAAAGGGTGTGTGCTGCTCTCATAGGAACTGTATCTGTTGGACAGGATTGTTTTCCATTGTAATTCTGTAAAGTGTTTCCTACCTGTGCCACAGAAATAACAGGCTCCATCTCCCCTGCCAGAAAAACAAAGCAAAGGAACTAGACTGGCACGCACCTTCTTACCACAAAAAACTCCTTGAATCCTGAGGTTTTTTTCACTGTGTCCTGAAGAAATTTCAGCTGTCCTGCTGACCCTACTCAGTGTGTTTGTATGTGGCAAGCAGGATTTATTCTTTGCAAATGAAAACGTGTTGGCCCAGGAAACAACAGGTGAGTAGCATTGCTCTGAGAGAAACCCTGCAGGGCCTGCACAGTCCTGCTCTGCTCCTGGCCATCCCTTTCCTTTGCTTAAGGAAACATCTTGGCAGCCATCAGGATCACTTGATAGCTTCTAGTTCAGAAGACTGATTTTGACTTTTTAATCCCCGTTTCTTCCTGTAGCTAAAAGCAGACTGCACTTGTTTCCTAACGCTAATCACCATCAACAGCTTGTGTGGTCCTTTTACATCTTACTGAGCTACTTGGTTATTGACTACATCGGGTCTTTCACTTTTGAAAACCTGTCTCCAGTAGTTACTGAGGCAGAAGGCTAAAGCTGTAGTTGTCTGTTTTTAAAGCTAATGGAGATTTAAAGAAGGTGAATCTGGCTGTGATGAAGAGGAACAAACTGCGTTTGTGCTGGCTGGGGCCTGCCCTCCCGTTCGCCGCAGTTCCACGGCCGCTTCCAGTCACGCAGGAGCCGCGATTTTCCTCCTCAGGGCCTCCCTCCGCCGCTGTCCGCCGGCCGGCAGCCTCTCCGATTCCTTAAAAAACCCCTCCCAGGAAATTATACGCGCAACGGGGGCGCGACAGAAGGCCGGGAAAGCCGGCAGGTGAGGAGCAAAGCCGGCAGGAAGGAGCCACCCTGCGCCTCCCCGCCTGGCCCGTCATGGCGGACGCCCGCCTGGCTGCCGGGGCGCGGGGCACGCTGGGAGCTGTAGTCCGGCGGCGGCCCCGGGGCATGCCGGGCCGTGTAGTCC